GAGTAACTCTCAGCAAACTGCCAACTTTAAAAGTAGCTCTTGGTTCAAAAAAGGTTGGGCACCCCTGGGCTACACAGACCAAGCTTGTGTACCTGAAGAGACTTTAAGAGTAACTTACCCCAAAATTAACTTTTTTTAGCTGATAAACTATCTAGAATGTGTCTAAAAGGTTATATAGTACTGTTTCTGTGTTAATTGACATTTTTTTGCATRTTTGTTCAAATCTGCAAATGTTGCCTTGGGGCGAAGTTATCCTTTCACAGGGAGGTTAAGATACACTTTAATTGCTGCTGCAAAAAAACTACAGTATGTACATTCAGAGGTGTATACTTTCAGTTCTACATTCTTTAGAGTTATGTAAAAACATTATTTCTCATTTTAAGTAATTAATCTCAAGTATTTTGTGTACCACTAGGGTTGTAATGCAGCAAAACAGATTACCAAAGAGTCGAGTCTCTGACAGCAGATTCACCTGTCTGTGTCTGATCTGATGTTTTTAAAGAAAAGCTCTAGAGTCTCTGAAAAAGAGTGACTTATTCAACAACTTCTGCCTTATTACATACTTTAATCAAAGAGTAATCTTGCTTTATATGGAGTTATTTCTCCTCCAACAGAATTGTGATCAGGTCGCTACAACTAATCTGTAATAAAATTATAAATATGAGTGTCCGGCTCAAGTGTTTCTCCTTCAGCCCAGTTGCTGCAAAGGATTTTTAACATCCATCCATTTTTCTTTTCCTGCTTCTCCTTTCTGGGTCACGAGGAGCTGGTGTCCATCACATAATCTGACTTTAATCTGTTCGTTTTGATGAAGACATGCAGCTTCCCTCCAGCTGCTGGCGTAACTGGGAGATGTGAGCGGGGCTGACGAGGCAGCATCCACCTGGTGGAGGAAAGACGTGCAGCTCAGCAGAGACACTGTGCAACTGATGAAGAGGAAGGAGCAGATCTTACCTATCAGAGCAGCACCCTGCTTCAGCCAARTGTGACTCAGCTCAGACCTCCATCCTGAGGTCTTCCATCTTTAAATAAAAACATGAGGCCATTATTAAAAACAACAGACCCCTGAAAATTTGTTCAATAACAGAAACTCATAACCTGTTAGTGACATAATGACTTAGTTTATAGACAGAAATGAACTCARTGCTGTTGGACACTGAGTCGCAAAAATATCCACACCTGTTATACTCTGGATTCTACAGGTTTGGGTGCCTTAGAACCTGGACTTCAGAGTGCATACTTTACACTGTATGGTACAACCAAACTGAAGAAGCCTCTGACTGAAGACACTTTGTCTTTCTGTGACAGTCTGATGAAGAGGATGGTCAGGGTTGTCCACAATGTTCTTGATTTTATGTAAAATCCTTCTTTGCACCATCATCTCCAGAGATTCGACAGTTGTCCCCAGAACAGAACCAGCCTTCTTTATCAGGTTGTTGAGTCTTTTTAGGTCCCTGACTCTGATGCTGCTGC